TACGAAAACAACTGCAGAAACTTACTGACAAGGCATGGATTCGACCCAGCTCATCTCCTGATGGTGCACCTGTCTTATTTGTGCCCAAAAAGGAAGGTGAACTTCGACTGTGCATAGACTATCGTCGGCTAAATTCCATCAATGTTAAAAATGCGGAACCTCTTCCGTGCATTGATGATCTATTGGATCAGTTGCAAGGGTACAGGTATTTCAGTAAAATTGATCTTAAATCAGGATACCACCAGATTGAGGTAGCTTCTGAGGATCAACACACGACGACTTTCCGAACCAGGTATGGTCACTACGAGTTCGTGGTTATGCCTTTCGGTCTGACCAATGCACCTGCGACCTTCCAAAGGTCAATAAATGAGTTATTTTGTCAGTGGCTTGACCAATTCGTAATAGTCTATCTCGACGACATTCTAGTGTATAGCAAAACACTAGACGATCATGAAAAACACTTACGAATGGTCTTGCAGAAGTTGCGCGAGGGCAACTTCAAACTGAATCCAAAAAGTCTGAGTTTGCTAAGCCTGAAGTTTTGTACTTAGGGCATATAGTAAACAGAGAAGGACTAAGGCCTAAAGAAAAGAAGATTACAACAATCAGAGATTGACCACAACTTAAGACTATAAGAGAACCAAGGTCTGTCTTAGAACTAGCTAGAAACTTCTCTTTGATAGTCGCTCCTATGAGGAGAATATTGAAAAAGGAAAAAACTTGGTTGTGGGACAAAGACTGTGAGTCATCATTTAGAAAGTTAAAACATATTCTGACTCACTACCTTGTCCTAAAGATTGTTGACGCTTCGCTTCCTTTCATTGTCACAACTAGCACAAGTCAGTATACGATTGGGGTTATGCTACAGCAGGATGACGGTGAAGGATATAGACCTGTTGAGTTTATGTCAAAAAGACTACCGTTAGAAAAAGTACCCAACTCTACGTATGAAAGGGAACTGTATGCATTAGTAGTTGCACTAGATACTTGGAAACACTACTTGTTAGGAAGGCATTTCACTGTCTACTCTAATCACTCTACACTAAAGTGGATCAAGACTCATCCTAGACTTTCTGACAAGTTGGTAAGGTGGTCCACATTCCTTGATACATTTGATTTTGAGGTAAAAACCATCAAAGGTAAGTCCAACGTGGTTGCAGATGCTTTGTCCAGGCGTGCAGATTTCTTTGGAACTATTGTTTCTTATCTCGATATTGGAAATGAATTGAAAGAACAGATCCGCCAGGGGTATGGGAGTGATCTTATTTGGAGTCCTATCATTGGAACTCTACGAAAGAACCCTGAGTTATTTCCAAAATATCGAATGACTGATGACTGATGGTTTACTCTTCTTGTTGGACAAAACTGAAGAACAATTGTGTATTCCTCACCTAGAACCAATTAAACCACCGGTCCCCCTGACGTCGGAAACATCGAGGGTACCTGTAGCGCCGTTTCACGACGGGTACCGGTAGTACAACGTGGAAAACCGGGTGGGCCAAATGGCAGGATTGGACCCGTCGGCCTCGTAATTGGAAATAAACCGAATCGGCGCGGCGAATATTTCACCGTCAAAATGATCTTATTTTTTTTTCTGATATTTTTCCCTGAAAGATCACGACCTAATCTACGGACTCTCAAATTTTCAAACATTTTCATCATTTCTTCTGGGATTGGACCCGTCGGCCTCCGTACAACCCGGCGCCTCCGTACGGTCGCCGCCCCTCCGTACAACCCGACCCTAACTCACAGGGACTAGGAGTTTGATTATTGGGGAATGCCATGATATGGAAGGTCACTTTGGTTTCAAGAAATGCCGACGTACGAGAACATTTTGATTGGAAAGGAATGAAGGAAGATGTGCTAACGTATGTGCGGACTTGTCTTGTCTGTCAGAGGAACAAGCCCTCACATGAGAATCCAATGGAACTACTGAGACCGCTGTCTGTTCCAAGTGAGCCAGGTGAGTCTATCTCTATTGACTTCATGAGCCTCACTAAGAGTCGAAACGACAACAGTTCGGTAATGGTCATCGATGATATATTCAGTAAGTACGCCATGTTCATTCCTTTTCCTGCGGAAGCAAGAACCGAACTAGTCATCCAAAAGTTTCAAATGCGATGGGTCTCTGAGTATGGATTTCCTAAAACCATCGTATCCGACAGAGATGTTCGGTTCACTAGTCTGCAATGGCAAAAGTTGATGGAAGTCTATGGAACCCGTTTGACCACGTCGTCAGGCAGACATCCTGAAACGAATGACCAAACTGAGCAAATGAATCATCTTTGCCAACAACTTTTGGGAATGTATGTCCGTCCTGACCAGATTGATTGGAATGAGAACTTGTCGAAAATTGCTAGTGCATATAATAATAGTATACATACTGTTACAGGAAGAATGCCTAATGCACTACATAAAGGTTGGAAGCCTAAGCGTCCGATTGATGCGTTAACTAGGGACCAGATTCAAAGGCTACCCCCAGGGACACGTGAATTCACAGTTTTGTATGAAGAAGACATTAGGAAAGTGAAGGAAAACATACAAAAAGCCCAACTGCAAGTGATTGAACAAGCTAATAAACATCGTCGTCCTTCACAATTTCAAGAAGGGGACTTTGTCTGGGTTAAGTCTAAAGAGTTTTCCTTGGAAGAAAACGTGTCTCAGAAACTGCTACCTGTCTACTATGGGCCCTGGGAAGTTCTCAAAGTAATTGGAGGTGAAGATGGACCTTCCTATCGTATAGATATACCTCCACACCTCAAGACATACCCTGTCTTCCATGCGTCTAAACTGCTACCATATGTGAAAAATGACAATTTTCCAAATAGGCCATCTATTTTTCCACCTTCTATGAACAGAGGATACGAAGTTGAGAAAATATTGGAACATGGCTATTTTTCTACACGTGGCAGAGGACGACCTCAGAAGCAGTACAAGGTAACGTTCAAATCCCAACCTCCATCTGAAGCTAGATGGTTTAGTAGAAAAGAACTTTTACCTACTTCTCCTGACATTGTTGCGGCATATGAACGAGGGTTAACTGAGAAATGATGTATTTTCTGCGATGGAACTCGAAAACTGGGACGGCAGGAATGCAATAACCCATGCCATATGTCTCGTGGAACTGAGGGTCATTAGAAGGCCTACTTGGCCGCCCTCAGCCCAGGCCAAATAAGGGCAGAAAAGGCCCTTCATGATTTCATGGCCTGGGCGTGTGAGAGTTGACTTCGGTCAACTGTCAGTCCACCCAACAGTGTCCAAAGGTACCTAGCCCAGGCCGCAGGTCAAGCACACACATTTGTTTGTATGCAGGTACCTAGATAGCATCAGGTCCAAGGGAGAAGTCTGCAACTGTACAATCCGGGCCTTGAGATGTGAGTCAATCAGGACGTCTGGAGAAAAAGCAACCGAGGCCAGACAGCCTCGACGACTGCTACATAAGGCTGGCCTCGAGCAAGTCCAGCATTCAGTCTTGCTATGGTGAGTGGCGCTGCCTCTGGTACATGTGGCGCTGCCTCTGGTCTATGTGGCATGCTGACGTGGCGCTGCCTTTGGTACACATGGCACTGCCTCTGGTCTACGTGGCATGCTGACATAGCGCTGCCTCTGGTCCGCATGGCATGCTGACGTGGCACTGCCTGGCGCTACCTCTGGTCTACGTGGTATGCTGACATGGCTCTGCCTCTGGTACATGTGGCGCTGCCTCTGGGCTACGTGGCATGCTGATGTGGCGCTGCCTCTGGCATATGTGGCGCTGCCTCTGGCATATGTGGCGTTGCTCTTGGTATACGTGGCATTGCTATTGGTCTTCATTGTTGATGTGGTGCATGCCACCTGTCTCGGTTGCTGACGTGGCATTGTCCACGCTGTTTACATGAGGTGACTGGTTGCGAGGGAGAGGAAGATCGGGATCTGTGGTTATGAAGGATCGGGTACTCTCTTGTGGCTGACGTCGTCACTGGACATTTGCTGTGTCTTCAGAGTCTTCATGAGATAACGTGCCACGTGGCACTACTGTATGAAACCAGGATTATTCTTATTATCATTGATGATGTAGTGTGGAGCAGCCCGGAGAAGATGAGGGATCAGAAGGGTTCTGTGTATTCTCTCTTCCTCTCCTTTGTCTGTTCTCCCTCCATACTCTTCTATTTTTGGATAATGAGATAATGTTTGTGATATCACTTCACGATCTGGAGACTTTCAGACAGATATTGAAACTACTGTTGATTGACGACTTCTGGCTATCTATCAGACTGGGTTCATTACATCTAGAAAAAATCTGAAAAATCAGTGATGCGCATTCGAGTCCCAATCTTTTCGTAAAAAAAAGAAGTTTACTAGCCACCAGACAACTTTTTCTTTGGCTTGCACTGCTTCTGCGCGGAACACCGGGGGAGGAATCTTCTGCTCTATCGGACATGGTAGGGCCATATGCAAACAAAGGAGTGGCTGGCATGCATATTGCACATGGAGCTCTTTTTTTGGTGGAGCTCATTTCAACAACTTCAGCTGCAACCTTTACAAAGATCATTTCTCAATGATGACACCTTGGCCACAATTAGGAATGGATCAACATCCCTCATCTATTTAGTCACTTCCTGGGGTTCCATCTTCTGCAACTACTAAGTGCAATGGTCCATAACATAAGTCGCACTCAAGATTCCTGGTCTGTGATTTGAGCATGTTCGCACATTTTCTACACAAACCTGGACCAGAGCAAAAGAAGTGAGAAAAGGAGGAACTGTATCAAATCGATTTGTGACATACAACATGCAAGCACATCCAACGAAGGATCCATGACAGAGGGGGGTCATAAGTGCCCCGACTGATCAGAATTCCAGATTTGCCGGCCTTTACATGTACGTCTTCGTACTTTATTGGTGCCAGACTGAATGCATCTGTGCGTTTGCAAATTTGCACCTTCTTGGGTCAAATGTTTCTTCATTTCCATGGCTATGGACCTGCTAAGGAGGCAAGGACCTTGGCATAGTTCACGATACCTTGAGGGAATACTCCCAGATTCAGATCTAACTTTGCGATATGAACGCACACTTCCTGCTTGGGGCCAATCAGGGCTGAAGAATGATACAAGGAAAACAAAACCAGAAAGGAGAGATCTGTCAGGATTAAGGATATCGTTTATAACGATCCATGTTGAGTGGAACAAAAACACTCTCAACAAGGAAGGCCGAGCGGATGAGAAGGGCATGAAAGGAAAGATAAAATTGGGGTACAAGGAAAAGAAGAGGATGCACAAAGAAAACAATGAAGCAATCCTGAAAGTGCTGAAGAGAAGGTGAAAGGCAGGGGCTAACAGCAGGTAAAACGCGATGAAGGGAAAGATGGTTTTTTTTTTTTTTTTTTTTTTTTTTTTTTTTGCTAGGGTACTGCATTTTGGTGAGAAGAAATGGGTTGTTGT